TGTCTGAATTAGATATATCCTCTTGCGAATTAGTTTATTTACCAGATTCTCTATCAAGATGCACCTCATTAGTCAAAATATGGCTCTCAAATAATAAGTAAGTGTTATTTCTTTTAACTACTTTTCATTATGTTACGGTTGCCAAAAATTTATTTTATTAGTACATGTACATGTGAACCCAAATGAAATGCATTTCTTGTATGTTAAAATTGTGTTGGTTTCTTTCTGGGAAGCTGAACGCTGTGAAATCCCACTCTGACGTGAATAAAGTATACCAGGGTATATCACAATGTGATATTAGTTGATATTTGGCTTTTTCAAATGTACTTTAGAACAGAAGTGTTATGTGTTTGTTAGTTACTTAAATCACAGTCACTCTACTAGGACGGTTAGGAAGCGCTATTGTTAAAAGATGTGAACAAGCAGCTTCTGAGAACCTACGCTGGTCTCAAAACTATGACGTAATTGTCATCAGAGGGCGCTATTTTTTCTCCATTATTCATTGCGTTTGATGTTGCTCGAGACGACCGTGAATTTTTGAAATTGTGCTTTATTTTTACATCAAACTATAATCTCAACTCAACTATGACTAGGAGTGATATTGTATTTTACAGATGAGCATTCTTTTGCAATCTTGCTTTACTCGAGAAAAACGTTGTTTTATTGACAGTCTCTTTGTCTTGATCTCTAACAGACTTTCGGTCTGTAAAATAAACCCCTCGCTCAGTTTAAAAATAATTTTATCGCTAAAAACATTGATGTCTGCAAACCTTTACAATATTCCTTTGTCCATTCTCGTAATTTTTGTGTGTTTTTTAAATTTATAGTCACTTTATGGCGAAATTCAGCATGTTTTCGTCGTCTATGGAGGTGGTCGCTATGCTGCTTTATTGCATGGTTTTCAATGGAAGTAATCGGACGAAAGATATTTTTGATTGTTGTGTTTTCATATCCCTCCATTCGCTTTATTTGACGACTGGAACAAATCCCGTTCAGTTGTATCGGTGCTACGAGTCATATTTAGTTTCGTTTGAATATTTTTTTTTATGACTTTGCTTTGTGATAATCTTATGAACGGTTTATTTCAGCATGTCCACACTGATTTTTGATTCAGTCGAGACAGGGTAAAATACCCGGATGTTAATTTTTGTGTGGGAATTTTTTGGGTGATATTCTAATGTAGTAATCTATTAACTAGTAATAATTTCAGAATGCCATACAAGACAGCAAGATTTTGTCGGGGAAAAACGTGTATATACAAAGCATGTTTATTTCCGTGTTTGAGACTGCACTTCGGTGAAAGGGTAAAGTGCCATATATTGCAATGCTTTGTGGGGAAAAATTACTCAACTCTCGCACTGTCTCACGATTTATCGCGTGTTTTCTGTCGCCCATTTTATGCTAATGACTTCTTAGCTCGTTAATACTGCTTTTGTTTCAATGTTTATCGAGACAAGGGTAATTACAATAGAACGACGCCGCGCTTCCTAACCGTCCTAGTAGAGTGACTGTGCTTTAATCTTGACAGTGATACTGATTTTCTTTCCTTTATATTTGATTAATTATTATTTAGTTGAGTGTCAATCAAATTGCACACATGTTTAATAGAAAGAAGTAAACAAAATCTTGCGAGACAGTGTTTCGAATTTGTACGATGAACTGATCATGGTTTTATCACAATACGTCAATACATGTATGAACATCCTGTTGAAAAGTGAAAAATCTCACAACCTGTGAATGTCATGCTCAACTAATTTTAATATTCAAGTCAATGATATACAAATATTATTTAAATTTACATCTTATCTTGGAAGAAAGTCAAGCTGTGATGGGTTGCTAACAGTGATAACACATGAAGCATCTGAGGTTTTATTAGAAGTACCGATACTTCTCTATTACAGATTAAAAGCAATACCAGATCAAATGGGAAGATTGAATCAACTCAAAGAACTACATGTTCGCAATAATCAAATCAGATATTTTCCTGCTTCTTTGTCATATTTACAGCTTTATACCTTCAGTGGTGAGTTAACATCATTCATACATGTACTGCTATCAGAAAGCACATTAAGTTTTTACTCTTTTTCATACTGCCCTCTAGTGACAGTCTAATTTATTCACTTGTTTTTACACTGATCAATTGATAGTAACTTTTGTAAATGCGCACCATTCTAGTAAGCTATTGCATGTGCACATGTAGTGACTGGTTGGTAAAATTTGATTACAACTTACGAAAATACCCCTCGCCGACCCTCTAATAACATTGAAAATAATTTCCAGATGAATAAATCTTGGTGTCATAACTTGCTCATTAGTCAATTCAGTATCTATAAAAGAAAGCTGTGCATACTATCAGTATTGACCTAGTTTTCACTTTGACATCAACTCTGCATTAACAGCCAATCATAATCCATTGATTGAAGAATGGAACATAGAATCTATACTTAATCTCAGTGTTCAGCCAAGTCAAGTTATTCCTCCGTTATCAGAATTATCTGCCCGGTGTATCGTCAAAAATGATGTCTATTGGTCTAAGGGGGATGTACCAACAGCTTTAGAAGGTAAGTTACACTTATAGTTTTTATTCTATGAGTTTTAGACTTTATAATCTGCAAAAAGCAGAGCATCTTTTGCTGTAAATGCAAGATATAGTCATTATCACCTACTAATACATGTATATATCATTAACATGTGTGATGTTTAATGTTATTTCATGACAACTTCATACATGTATGAGCACATCTAGATGTCGTGTCAAATTAGCATGTGATTCATAATCAGAGTGCAATGGTCATGTGATAAATTGGTTATGACCGGATACCACTTGTTTATAAGCTTGA